ATGCCACTTAACTCAAGTTTTATCTTACTTACCAATTTTTCGTCTCGATTTTCGATTTATTTCCATTGTGAAAGTCTTTTTTCTTCTCCAACATTTACTTTAATTTTAATTTCGAGAAATTCTTAAATCAAAATGCCATTTCTCTGTCAATAACGAAGCTTCTTTCTATTTTATATTGTACCAAAAAACCATCTTTCTCTCTCCAAATTTGTTGCTTAATAATGCTTATTGCGCTGTTAGCAGACAATCGAAAAATTTAAAATTGAGAAAAATCGAGTCGCTAAATGTTTTTTGTCTTTCTCGAAAAATCAGCACAATTGGCGGAAGAGAATTTCACGGTTCTTCTTTCTTCATCTCTCATTTGAAAGTGCAGGCTCGAAATGCTTTGGGAATTTTCTGTGACTTTTTCTTGTCGTTTATTGAGTGCAATTCACACATCTTATAAATTTTAAATGTTATTCGCTCTATTGATAGAGATAAAAAAATTTCTAGTTCAGTAGGTGGGTTCATGTGGATTGAAATGTTAATTCTGATTTTTTTTTTCATCTTGATTATCAAAGATTTCGATGATTGAGTGCTGTGTGATATAGAATTGCGGGTTAATTGTTTTAACTAAGGATATTGGTACTTTGTGAAAGAGTTTATACACACTCATAAAAAAAATTTAACATTTTTCATTGTTATTTCGTTGTAAACCAGATTTAACAATGACATTGTTAAATTTATATGACGAAAAAAAAAGTTAACAATTTCATCGTTAAAATTATTTTTACAATCAATTAACGATAAGATTGTAACGTAACGATGGTGATTGTTAATTTTACAATGGTCATCGTTAATATTAAATTTTAAATAATTTAACTTTACTTAAGTTTTGAATAATCATAATTAAATAAAAATTCAGTATGAAAAGTGAGTTTTATTTCTGTGTACTTAAGAATTATAAAAATTTAAAAAAGTTGATTTTTTATTAAAAAATGTTGTACTTGAATTAATATTCGTTAATTAAATTATTTTTCAATACTTTCTATTGATGTTTGACAAAAATTATAATTAAAATCTTATTCATTTTCACTATCTTTAAAATTTACCTTTTCATTTAAATAATTATTTTGTCACTTTTAAATCAGATAAAAAATTAAGAAATGCGATTACGATTAAACAGGCGACATTGGAAGTTAAGCAACGAAATTTCATTTCCTTTTTGGATGGGTGACCATTTTTTCTTCGAAATTTTTTTTTAACAATATGATTGTTAAATTTTACAATTTCATTGTTGACAAAATTTTTTACAATGGTCATTGTTAAATTTAACAATTTCATGGTCAACGCTATTTTAATCATGACATTGTTAAAATTTTCATACAAAGTAACAATGCATTGTTAATTTTTTTTTATGAGTGCAGTTAAAATATATTTACAGATATAAGGCTGAATGTAGCTGGTTTCTAAGGCTATCCAAGCACATGTAGATTATCATAGCGAACCTACAAAAACCCTCCTTCACTACTACAGGATGTGCTGAGTAGGGAAGGATTGTGAGGGACTTATGGCGTACCTAAGGATGCTGTACATGCCCGGCAACTAGAATAAGGTTAAGCTTTCTGGGTTCCCTAAAAACCAGCTTCAGATATCAATACCAGTGTTATGGACTAGTTAAGGTAGAACTTGGATATCCCCGAAATAAATTCAAAGCTTAGACTTTAAGAGTAAGCTTCATTCCATTCAGTACTAAACTTCCTCAATACCCCAGCATAATCAACAAACAGTAACAAATTCAAAACAATAAAAATTTACATATAAATTTATTTTATCAATCAGTAGATTTAAATTAATTAGACTAAAAATTCCATTAAGAAAAGAAAATCTACATCGAATCTAAATAAGCCATTGAACGAGTCTTCAGACCATCTAAATGCTTCATTCTCTTCTAATCTAGAACTTTTTAATATTCAAATCATGATCAGTAATCAATATTCTATACATATATTATGCATGCAAACGACAGAATTCGCAAGTCGCCAATAATCTTTTATCCAGTTCATTCTCTCAAGACTTCATTTAAAATTCATGTGAGCTTTCACAAATCAGCAAATGAATGTCTTGGAAATGGAAAAAAAAAGATTTTTCTTCTTATTCAGGTTTTTAATCTTTTTTGTTTGTTTTGTTTTCTCGGTTTTTTTTTTGTTGTGTCTTCTTATTTAACTTACTTCTAGGTATGAAGCTAGAAAAAGAAGATATAGAAAAGAGACATAACAAAGGAGAAACAAAAGATAATATTGGAAAAGGAAGAAGAAGAAGAAAAAATATTGAAAATTGATTTTAAGAATATTAAATAGGCAAAGAATAAAATTGAAAAGGTAGGAAGTAGAAAATTTTTATAGATTAGTTTGTGGACTGAGCGACTTATACTAGATAGCAAAACTAGTCTTAGATGCTTAAAACCAGTAGAAAACTACTTGGCAAAGCATTAGCTACCCTTGTTCACTTAGTTGTTGTTCCCATGGTCACAGACTAGCTCCAAAGAGCTGTCAAAATAGATGGAAGTAGAATCTCCAAAAACTTCAGAATATAGCTCTACTAAGTACCTCAAAAAATCTTCTATTCCATCCAAAAAACTTAAATCCAGTCCAAAAATACAATTCTCCAAATCAAGAAGATCTTTCCAGTCAGCCATCATTTCACGTCAAGCTGACACACTTCATTGACATCCAGCACGTTAAGAAAACCAAACACAAATACCTTAAATGAATGAAATAATATAAATTGAAAGGTGAAAGAGTTTATCGTTGGAATGAGATTGAAACAATCGGCCTGTTTCACTAAAGTGGATTATCCTCGATTTTGGATTATCCACTTCAGTTTTTTGAAAATATCGCCAGACGCTTAAGGTTATTAAGAGATCTAATGTGTGATCTAGCAAGAGTACTTTGCTCCTTAAATTAACATATACTTAGAATTTTTATATCTTCATTGGTTTGAGAATTATAGCAAAAATCGAAGTTAATCTACTAGATTTGGCTAGAAAATTGAATAATTAATACTTCTTACCAACAAGTAAAAGTTTATAGTATACAGAAATTTCAGACATAGTTCACTCTATTAAAATCCAAAATTAGAAATACCACACCTCCCATAAAGTTTAAGATATTTCCAAAAAACTGAAGTGGATAATCCGAAATCGAGGATAATCCACTTTAGTGAAACAGGCCAAATGTTTTTTGTGAGTCTTTGTTGCTGTACACAATAATAAACATCGTTTACATTCATGTTGATTTGATGTTATGCATTATTGACACATGAGAATAAGATCAATGAGATGAAATGTGAGAAGAATAGAAGATGAAATTATTTGGGTCAGGAGATTCTCTGGATGATTATTTGGCAGATGATGAAGACAAAAATTGTTGATTGTTTTAGAGTAATTGTGAATCTCGTGACTCTGCAAAGCTTTGTTGACGGATTTTAGAATTTTGGAATGATATCTTAAATCGAGAACTAATTGTGGAACTAGACATTAGAGTCGTTTGTTGAATTATTCATTTGGTTAAATTCAGCACTTTTCAGTTCTATTATTATTATTATTATTATTATTTATTGATTACTTCTTTTCATTACAAAGGAAAAGCCACTTCAAATAGAACAACAATCAGTCCCAATTTGAAATGGCAAAAAACCTTTGTGAATAAGATTAAATAACTTAATGACAAAATGGAAAAAGATGTGAGATTATATTCAACTGAATTCAGTCGAGTTTAGCACTTTTGAGCTACATTCAGCACTATTCAGTCAAGTTCAGCACTTTTGAATTCACTTAAACTTAGCCAGATTAAGCTAAGTTTAACACAATACCAATTCATACCAATTATTCAATTCCAATAAATCAATTACAGAATTTACTATAACAAATTCTTAGAATCACGCAACATTAACAATAAACTCGACTCTATAGCTCCAACTCTCATAATTCTACAAGCAAAAAAATCAATTCAGTAGCAACAACATAATCATTAATATCTCTATTCTCAGCTAATGCAAATGCAATGAAAAATTCATTAAAGTCTTTTAACCTCACTGAACTTCTATTCAACTTTGATTGCAATTGCATAGAAAAGAGAGAAAAAAAGGCATTTTAAATAATTGAAATTAATTTATTGCATGATTGAATGCCATAACTTCTTTTGTGTACGCTTAGAATTATTTTTATCTTTAAGCGAAAATCATAAATTTGTCTTGTGGCAGAAAATGAGAAAAAATATAATTGCTGGATGTTGGATAGCCAGGTGGGGAATAATGTGGGAACTAAGCGAAATCATTAGAAGCTAGTCCATGATTTTGCAAAAAAATTCTATAACTTAATTTATTTCTACATATTGCAGCCGTAAGAACTCTGATGAGAACAATCGCAAATATGTTCCTCAAAAATCAGCAACTCACACATTCCCCCCACTGGCAATGCCACACAAATACGAAAAAATAAAAATTCCAAAGCAAAACAATTCCGATTGTGACTCATCGATAAAATTTTCTCATAAATTGAATTTTCGCTTCGTACGTAAATTAAATCAAATTTGTGATCAAGCGAAGCAGAACATAAGATGGTAAGTTGTTTCTTTCCGCCCAACCTTTAAATGTGCGACTTGAATAGAAACTGAAAAAATCAATTGAAGTTTTGTGAACCTTGAAGTGAATGATTGGAAATGAAAAGTTTTCTTTGAGTTCTAAGTTGGCTGATGTTGGATTTTCTCATGTCAGTCATGAATATCCTACAACTGTCATAGTAAGGAATATAAATTGTCATTATGAAGACATTTGCTGTTACAATCAACAGAACAATTAAAGCTTTGCAGTTCTCATCAAGAAAAAAAAACGGAATAAATGCAATTAAGTCATTTAAATTTATTAAACATTCAAGCTTTCTCATACATCAAATGACATCTACATTGAACAAACAAATTATTAATATTGCTAGTCTTTCGAGTGACTTTTCACTTAGCAACTTATGGCGTATAAACTGCAGCCAGTACTGAATAGTACGAATATGATGCATCCAGGATCTTTAAGGAAAAAAAAATTATTTTGCTTATTTTTGTCACTTTAGCTGAATCATAGCTTACCCATTTATAGGTTTCTAAATTCATGTTCACAAACTCCATTCCTGTTATTTCTTGAACCTTTTGAGCGCGAACCATGACAATCAGAATCATTTTACGGAACTTGACGTTTCCACTTAACCAATTGCAGTTGTACGCATCCTCAGCCACTGATAATGAGGCACTTTCAGAATAATTATTTTTAAAACTCCAGTGTTTATTTTAAAAAATCTATTATACTTACTTATTGAGATGGTCACCAAAATAGCAATGAATGAATGTATTCCACGACGATGCAGCCAAAGCCAAAACATATTTTAAAAGGAAATATTTGCTGATTCCAGACTAAAATCATCAAAAATAGTAAATAAATTATCTTAATTCAATTTAAGAATATTACCAAAGTCAAGAAAGCAGCACAGCACATTGTGATCATCATTCCAAAGCAGTCAATGAACATTAAAGGCGATAAAATATCTTTCAGCTCTTCCGATAGTTCAATCAGTTCTTGGTGAGTAATAGCTAATCTTTTCAACTCTTTTATAGCCTCTTCCTGACTCTCTGCTGGATCAATCTCACTCATTAATTGTCCTAATATATTCAACTCCATGCTGATAATAGCAACTAGTTCCGTAAACAGCAAATCTGTAATCAGCACAGTAAAAATTCCGACAAAAAATGCTAAAGCATTAATGGTGTACAGAACAGCGTATGTTGTTGGATCTTTTGTGTTGAGGGGTAAGGCAAGTTGTATAATCATCTCTAGCTTTACTTCCTGTGAGAACGTTAATCCATACAAAAGAATAAGAATCGGGACTGTCACGAACTCCAATGTGACGCCTTTATAAAAAACTGTACAAATAGATCCAATGAATTTCAATTTCCTTAAATGTTGAGGAACAAGAAATACATCCTGATCCCAAGAATTATTAGGAAAGTGTTTCTTTAACTTCACGACAATTTCCATAAATCTTTCTCGATACCAATACATTACTGTAAATCCTTTCATCAAAATTAATCCTTCAATGCACACAACACCGACATTTTCAGTAAGAATAAGAAATGATCCACCTGTGCTTATCCCGTATGCAATACTGAAGAGATTTAGTGACAAAAAAACAACAGAAAGGATCATCGTTGAGGCATAAAAAAATTTCCGTATTTTTTTTTTACTCAAAGGAGTATCTCGTGGTAAATTGTAGAATCCAAAATAATTAATCATTTTTTCGGATCCCAAGAAATCATCAAACTCAATCAAGGTGGATTTTGGACTTTTATTGAAAAGTTTTTTCAAATAAATTTTAAAGCTTTGATTTCCCTTCAACAGTGCTTCCATTTTTTTGAGTCTATCAAAAGTACGACTAGCCTGCATAAGTTTTAAAATAGAACTGCAGTTAGGATATAAAAATTAAAAACTTTAAAATGATAAAGTAAAGGCCTGTATGTTATTATTCTCATGTCGATCATAAATTTCCTTTATTATATTAAAGTATATTAAGCTAATTGCATCGATAATATGACAACATACGTAAAGACATTTAAATTTGAGCATTTAAAAATCATACGATGTGAAGGACATTACAAAGATAATTTCAAGGATATTAATTACACGTGTAAGGAATTAAATTGAAGTTGTGCTTTGCGGCACAGTTTTAGCTTGAACAACATGCACCAGATATGTAAATACCGAGCGCACCAAGATGTACCAAGATGGAACAAATGGGTGACAATGTCAAATTAAAAAGTAAATGTAGGGTTGACTCAGCAAGTGTCGACTAGAGTTTAGTTTCATGTCTAAACGCAGTGGACAGGTGATTTTACATAAAGGATCAAAAGCACTCAACGTTTGTAAAGTGCAACCAAAACTGAATAGTATGTAAATGAAGCATCGATAATCTGGAAAGAAAAAATAAGAAAAATCAGAGTGGGCTGCACTAGTTTTGATTATTAAATCAAGCCAAGTTGATTTAAGGCTACTAATCCATACGAAAGTTTAATGTATTTGGCTTCTTGATCACTAGTCATCAGTTGAACTTGAAACTTCAAATTTTGAATGGTAATACTCTAGGTCTTTTCTACACTACAACCAGATTCAAACATGATTAACATACCCACTGATAAGTTTCCAAATTAATATTAACAAATTTCATTCCTGTCAATTCCTGTGCTTTTTGTGCACGGATCATGACGAACAGAATCATTTTTTGGAATTTAATACTTCCATTGAACCACTTGCAGTTGTACGCACCCTCAGCTATTGACAATGATGCACTAGATAGAAAATATTTATGCTTAATTATGTAATTTTCAATAAGTCAACTTACTCATTTAAACGACTGCCATAAAAACAATGAAGGAAAAAGTTCCATGACGATGCAACTAAAGCCAAAAAATATTTCAAGAGGAAATATTTGCTGATTCCAGACTACACATTTTAGAATAATTAAGAAAATCAGTATTTATTTATATGACAAAACTTTTTTACGACATACCAGTGTCAAAAATGCACAACAAGGTATAATCATAAGCACACCAAAGCAGTTTAGGAAAAATAATGGAGAAAGAATATCTTTCAAATCTTCTGAAAGCTCGATCAATTCTTGATGAGTGTCAAACAAATTTTTCAATTCATCAGTTGCCACATCTTGTCCCTCAGCGGGATCTATCTCAGTTATAAGCTGTACCAAAGCCATTAACTCCAAATTGATTATTGCTACAAGTTCTACACACAATAGATCTGTAATTAAGACAGTAAATGTTCCGACAATAAATACCCAAGTATTGATGATGTAAAGTATGGCATATGTCAAAGGATCCGTTGTGTCAAAAGGTAGTTGAAGCTGAATAACCAATTCTAATTTCACTTCGTGTGAACATATCAATCCATATAATAGAATAACAATCGGTATGCTTGTGAATTCAATCAATACCGTTTCATAAACAGCTGCACATAACTTTCCACAAATCCTTAAAGTCTTCAAATGTTGAGGCACCTGGAATACATGTTGATCCCAAGCAGATTCAGGAAAAAACGGTTTAAGCTTCACAATAATATTCATAATATTATCTCGTTTCCAGTACATGATTGTGAATCCTTTTATCAAAATTAAACTTATAATTCCAATTATTGCAATATTTTCAATAACTGTCGAAAATGATATATCATGTGTAAGTCCATAAATAGCACTAAGAACATTCAGAACCAAAAAAACAACCGACATAATCATCGACAACACGAAAAATGCTATGCGTTCTCTACTTCTGTCCAAATGAGTTGCTCTTGGTAAATTATTAATTCCAAAAAAGTTGAATATTTTTTCCGAGTCAAAGAATTCCTCAAATTCAACGTAAGTTGCTTGTAGATCGTCACCATACAACTTTCTTAAGACTGTCACAAAGCTGTAATAAATCTTCGTAAAGCTTTCCATCGCGAGATTTAAGCTTAGACTAAACGAAAAGATGACTTGTTCGTTTCGATTCCACGAAGCAACTCCTTTTAAGACACGAGCAAGGAAACCTTTAGAATGTTGAGGCTATTAAATGCAATTTTCTCATGTCAATCATGAATTTTTCTTTATTAATTTATTTATTTTTGAGAACAAAAAGAAAAGGAGCTAATTGCATTATTAAACTAGTAAAGAAACAACTTAACTTAAGCAGTTAAGTGCCTTGCTGGTCGAATAGGTAAGGCGCTTGGCTCAAAATTGGGATGGTAACTGGAAGGTCGTCGGTTCGAATCCAGCCATTTGTTCTTTTTCGGAAGTTTAGATACTTCGAATGCTTAATGTACAAGATCAAGCCATAATTGGGCATTTGAGCATCGTTGGATTAAGGAACGGGTCAGGAACTTAAAGTGTAGCATGAGAAATAGGAACGAGAGCTACACGATTACCCACGAATGGAATATTGTTAGAACGGACCTGAAAAGTATCACGTCACGCCCACAGAAGATTGAAACGATAGCCTTAGTTTATTTGAAACCTAGATTTGAAGATTAGAAGATTGATCCTACATAATATTAATTCATATGTATGCAAATACAAAAGTGTAAAATGTGACCGAAGCGCATTTTCCCCGCACAGAATTCTAGTAGAAAATAAAAATCCAAAAACTTGAAACATTTGAAAAATAACGGTCAAAAACTGGATAAGCCGTACAGACAGACAGATAAAGTGCAAATAACAGCGTCATTTCTTGAAAAGAAAATGCACCAAAAATCAAAAACTCGGGTATTGCACAGTCAGAACATATCTTGAGGCACAAAATTATGAAATACAATTGATTGCTTTATTTTTTTAATCAGTATTTATTTATTAACCAATAAGCAGCAACAAAACCACTTAGCGGAGAATTTCACGTTTTTTAACCTATAAATCCAAAGTTACTTATAATTCCTGGCAAAAGAAAGATCAGAAGTTATTAAAATTACGTTTTTAGCAAGAAACCAACAAAAGAATAAACTTATTCTGCTTTTTATGGCATGTAAACTGCCGATAATACTGAATAGTATGAAAAAGCTGCTTGAACAATCTGCAGGACAAATAATTTAAAATAGCATTATTATTAATGTATTCTGCAAAACTTACCCACTGATAGGTTTCTAAGTTGATGTTTAAAAATTCCATTCCAGTCAATTCCTGCACCTTTCGTGCACGGACCATGACAATCAGGATCATCTTTCGAAACTTGCAGTTTCCGCTCATCCAGTTGCAGTTGTAGACACCCTGAGCCACTGACAATGAAGCACTGGAATGCAACAAATTGAATTCGAAATAAATTTAAAAACAACTTCATCCTTTATTTCTGTTCCCAATGTTCCGATCAATAAATTCTACTCACTCATTAAGACGATCGCCATAAAAGCAAACAATAAATGAATTCCATGCTGACACCAAGGTTATCAAAGCATACTTAATTAAGAAATAATTGCTGATTCCTGACTATAATTTTGAAATGAACATAAAAGAAAAATTGAAAAATATTCAAAAACATTACCAAAGTCAAAAAAGCAGCACAGCATAGAACAATCATCATGCCAAAGCAGTTGATAAAAAGCAGAGGAGATATAATGTTCCTCAAGTCTTCAGAAAGTTCAATCAGTTCTTGATGAGTTTCTGATAGCTTCTTCAGCTCCTTGATTGCCTCATCCTGTCCATCCGATGGATCAATCTCACTCATAAGCTGTGACAGAGCCATCAATTCCAAATTAATGATTGCAACAAGCTCAGCTAACAAAAAATCAGTTATAAGGACAGTGAAAGTTCCAACAATTAAAGCCCAAGCTCCGTTAATGAAAAGAATTAAGTATATGATAGGATTTGCAGTGTCAATGGGCAGCAATAATTGAATTATCAACTCAAATTTAATGTCCAATCCAAAGGCCAACTCATAAAATATAATAAATATTGGCATTCCTGTATATTGAACCATGACTCCTTTATATAAAACTGCACTGATTTTTCCACACACATTTAATGTCTGTAAATGCTGAGGAACATCAAAAACTTGCTGGTTCCAGGCATCATAAGGATAGTACTGCTTGAGCTTAATAACAATTTCCATAAGCTTTTTTCGATGCCAGTACATTATCGTAATTCCTTCGATCAACACCGTTCCTGATATGCACACAACACCGACATTTTCAGTAAGCACCAGAAATGATCCACCTTTTTTTAATCCATAAGCAATACTGATAATGTTAAGGACCATAAAGATAACCCAATTTATCATCGACATTGTGTAAAACATTCTACGTTTTCTATCGTTACTCAAAGGAGTATTTCGTGGCAAGTTATTGAATCCAAAGAAGTTAATCATAGCTTCCGAGCTAAAGAAATCATTGAAATCAATGTATGTTGACTGTGGATCTCCAATGTAGAAGTTTTGCAAGACACATTTAAAGCTCCGGTAAAATTTTATTAATTTTTCCATTATTCGGCGTTAATTCAGTGCTAAGCTTAAGGACTTTGGATGTCTAGCGTGTTTGAAAGGTAACGATGAACTGCTTTCGAATATCAAAACTTGTTAAGACTCAATATTGAAAAACTGCAGCTACATCTGCTTCTTTTTCGCATGTCAATCATAAGTATTTATTAGGTTCTTCGATAATATTATAGAGAAATTGAGCTAATTAAGGCTGAAACGACGCAAAGGACATCCAAGGATGATGGCAAGTCTTTTTAATTAATTTTATTTAATATTTATATTTCAACATGCACTGATAATTATTAACCGGAAGTATAAGAACCATCGCTACTAGTTGAAGCATATTTGAGCACTTCTAGCTGCTTTCTATTGTCCTATTGCATGGTATAGGTGACCATGACTTTTAATTATTTTGAGCTAGACAACTTGGACGATAGGATCCAGTTTCTCCTGGTATACCACTGCTAAGGCCTTCCTTAACATGGATTCTAGTCAAGGAGAACTCTCCCTAATCCTAGTTATGCCGGTTTCTCATATTCATCTCTAAGTTACCGTGGATTTGACAATACCGTGTAACAAAACTTAAAGTCTGCCAATAAACTAATCACACAGCATCAACATTTAATACCAAAAGAAGTTCTTTTTCTCATTCTACGTCGCAGACTCTTCAAATTAAATTCAAAAAAAAATATATTCACAAAAATTGAAAATTTTGTGTGAATATGATTCGATGCTTTTTTTGTGTGTGCAGAATGATTTATGTCTTGCTTCTTTTTGTTCTCCGTTTTATTCATTAATTTTATCGATCATGGCATTAAATTCTTGCCCATCAATTTGTTTCCATACAGTTTCAACTTCTTTCATTGAGAGAATATCAAAGAGCATCAATAAAATGAGTGTAAATCAAATTATGCGGTACATGAAGTATAACAAATGTGTTAGAATGATTGAAAATGCCACCGGTTTGATGGTCCATCGACCATACGAGCAAAATAATATAAAAAAAATACATTCGCGCAGAAGGTGCGTGAAAAATTTAAAATTAGCTCAATCATCGTCAATCGCTCTCTTTCATCTTTCTACAGCACGTCTTGTTGTTGTTTTGGCGATGACGATGGAATTTTTTAACTTTTTTTTTTCAGTTTCGCTTTTTTTGATTGCAACTTTTTTTTGTTGTGTTTTCATAAACACATGCAGACGAAACGAGTATGTTGAGAATATTTATTGTGAACAGATAGTTATTTGATGGACAGACATAAACAGGCGAAAAGGAGAAAGAAAGAAGAAAAATTTAGACATCAAAAAATAAAAAGATTTTTGAACAATGTTGGTAAATTATCGACTTGTAGACCTTTTATTATGTACATGCTTTTGTATTTTTTGATGGCGATAATGATGAGTATGGAAATTTTACCCTTTATGCTTCCTTTTCTTCTGCGAGATATTTAAGTCTTAACAACTTAAATTTACAAAATATTCTCACATTTTTGACATTAAAAATTAGATTTTTATGATTAATAGCTGCTTTGTCCTTCAAATTAATATTTTTGCAGCTACTTTCATGTTAAGTTTGAATTTGGTGATTCTCATAAGATTCTGTGTTTTGAGTTTTGAGATTCTAATCACTAAAAGTCTACCTGCTTATATCTGTAACTTGTATAAAATAATCATAATTCAAAGAATGCACAATCATTCAGTGAACATCAATTGATTACAAAACATTTCGAATTCAATTACTCATAATCAAATTATTTTAAAAATGGAACTTCATAAAAGATTAGTTCGATTACAAAAAGCAGCAGCAGAGGAAACAAAACCATCAAATCCACCACTTAACGAAAGCAACACATCAAACAACAGCGACAAGTCAATTCCTCCACCAAGAAGACGAGGAAGTCCATCACCATCATACAACATGTTTAAGTCACTAGAACATCACAGTGGATGCTCATGGCGTAAACCAAACTTTCAATATGGAAATGGAATTTTAGGGCTGCATCAAGAAATCGAGCAGTTTTATGCACACATGTTACCAACTCCACTTGAACATACAGCAAGATTGGAAGTCATTTCAAGAATTGAATCGTTGATTGTAAAGCTATTTCCACATGCCAGCGTTGAAGTTTATGGATCATTTCGTACAGCATTGTACTTACCAACAAGTGACATTGATATGGTTGTGATTGGAGATTGGCAGAATTTGCCATTAAGGATGATAGAAAATGAACTGATTATGAATCTTATAGCTGAGCCACATGCTGTAAAAGTTCTAGATAAAGCTACAGTTCCAATCATCAAGTTAACAGACACAAAAACTCAAATCAAAGTTGACATTTCATTTAACATGAGTTCAGGTATTCAAACTGCTGAGCTTATTCGAGAATATAAACGTCAATATCCAGTGCTATCAAAATTGGTGATGGTCGTTAAGCAGTTCTTGTTGCAACATGACTTGAATGAAGTTTTTACTGGTGGCATCTCATCATATTCATTGATCCTGATGTGCATAAGCTTTCTGCAACTTCATCCAAGACAGAATTTTAAGAATGTCAATTTGGGGCTTTTGCTGCTTGAATTCTTGGAATTGTATGGACGAAAATTCAATTACTTAACAACAGGCATCAGCATCAAAAACGGAGGCAGATATGTCGACAAAGATGTTTTACAGAAACAAATGAAAGCGGACTTACTTTATCCAAGTATTTTGTGTATTGAAGATCCACTAACACCCGGCAATGACGTAGGAAAGGCATCACATGGAGCACTTCAAGTTAGAGAAGCTTTTGAACATGCTTACATTACTTTATGTCAAGCTGTTGCACCGAACAATACTCAACTTAATGACTGCAACAAGCAAAGCATATTAGGACGTATAATAAGAATTAGTGATGAAGTCATTGGATTTCGTGGATGGATTCAAGCTGAAATTGTGAGAAGATTGATGCGTGAAAAGCTGGCATCCAGGAAACTGAAAAATAAGTCAAATGAAAGTCGATCAAGTTCTAGTTCTGATGATGTTTCTGAATTCAATGAGAGTCATGATTAGAATAACTTGTCGAATCGGTCGTGAATGGTAATAGATTCACGGGTTTTAGTATTAATTGACAAAAATCTTCAATTTGAGATTTATAAGAATAAGTTTATTTTAATGTAAATATTTAATTTAAAAATATGAAAATACAAGAAAAAATAAAAAATAACAAAAATGTTTTTTTTTTATCTACCTGTAATTAAGTTTTAAATCCATCATATAGTAACATGGTCATTAAGAAAACAAAGACCCACATTTGACCATGATTGCAGATTTTTTGAGTTTAGTAAAACAAACTTATCGGTAGGATTTGATGTGAAACTTATTACAGACTTGACATTCATCATGTTGGGATCCCATATGTATTTGAGCTTTGCTTTAAAAACTAATTAACACGAGAAATATTAAACCTTAGGCTGGATAGACTTGAAATATTATTTTAAATTAGTTTTGAATGGTTGAGAATTACGTTCATCAGTTATGTAGCTATAAATCTCCCCCATCAACCTTTTCAAGCAACTAGCATCAAAATTCTTCAGTTTATAAACTGGCACAAATCTCTTTCAAATCCTACCGACAATTCCAATTATGCAATCATATGCAATGCGAAGAGTCACATACACAAAAAAATTATATTTATTACAAAATTCACGCAATTTATCATAAACGAGCAGAAAATAAAAATTATGACAAACAAATTCGACGCGGTTCAATAGCATTAATGCTACACGTATGAATCTAAAAGTTGTTTCATGACACATTCATTTCTCAGTTAACATGCAGGTACAATAATATATGTTATTATGATTTTCATCTTATTCACGAAATTTTACGGACAGTGAGAAAAAAACGGATGTTTAAATTGTTTGTTGATTATGAAGTGAAAGAGGAAAGGAGTTGAAGAGAAATTTAATGTTGTGCTGGGTGTAACGTGGACGGCAGAGTTGGATTTGGAAACGAACCAGAGCTTACAATTTTTTCAAATGAGCGTAAAGCTTTTTTAGTCAGTTCAGCACTTTGTTCACCTTAATTCAGCACTTTACGCAGCTGAATTTAGCACTGTTCAGCACTTTACTCAGTTAAATTCATCACTTTTCAAAGTCCAATTCAGCTTTATTCAGAAACTAGGCAAAAGTACAGCAAAAAAAGCTAAAATAAGCTAAATTTACTTTATTTTTGCACTAGTCAACACCACTTTCACCAAAAAACATTAGATCTACAACTCCACCAACCTTGATAGCCACAAGCAAACCCCAAAACTCCACTTCTGTACAAGTTACATTAAAATTTTAACTTAAATTAAATTTAACCGCAAAAATTACTCTTTTTATATTATGGCATTTCAATTTGACACGGGAGGAATCTCTTAATAAACACTGACTTGACTTGCTGCCATATTTTTTTTCTTTTTTAATATTTTACGGATTTCTCAACAACTCGTGCTTCAAAAGAGCAAAAAAGACAGATTTTAATAATGTAAATGACGTTTAACCACATAACGCAGTTAAATCACTCAATAATAAGCAATGTATGACCACAGACATTTTACTGTCTTTATATCACTTGACTTCTTTTCACTCTTATTTGCCGCTGTCACTGCCACTGCTCACTGCTGCTGATGTCTTTTGTATATGATCAAATATGAGTGGTTGAAGGTTGCTGATTCTGTACATGGAGATTAATATTGAATAATTTTTGGGATCGATGCTTGTAAAGTTGGTGAATAACTGTGTCAATGTGTCATCTTCAGCAATGTTCGGGATACATTTTGGCATGATTAAGTGTTTTTGAATTAAAGAGCTTATATTAATGCAGAATTTAGATAAGTAGCGTTAAATTCAGCAACTTGAAGCTGAATATCCCTGAATTCAGCACCTTGGAGCTGAATGGAGCTAAATTCAGCAACTTAGAGCTGAATAGAGCTGAATTAAGCAACTTGAACCTTAGTAGATCTGAATTCAGCAACTTGGAGCTGAATGGAGCTGAATTCAGCAACTTAGAGCTGAATAGAGTTAAAATTCAGTAGCTCTTAGCTAAATAGTGCTGACATAGAAAATTTGTATCTAAAAAATCAACAACTTTAAGCTTAGTAAAACTGAATCGTATAAAAAGTCTATAAATTTGCAGCTTAAGCAAGCCTAATTCCTATAATAAATTCTACAAAATTTAATAATTCATAATTTAAACCTCATAAAAGTTATTAATCCACTAATTCTATATTACTAGAAAATAGCTGCTAATTGAAAATACTATAAACTAGTAAAAAGATCGCCAGTACTTTGGATCTGGGCGACTTCAGCGTATTTTCCCCGTACAGATCAGTAAAAAAATCGTAGCTTGAAATTTAAAAAAAAAAACACTTTATTAATTTATATCATTGAACTTAAATTCGTTTTTTATGAAACTGTATATGGAAATATATTTGGACATTTTATGTTCGTACCAGATTGACTTTAAGAAATTCGTACCAGATTCGTTTCAGTATTTGCCAAATAAAGGAAAGGAGAACAACCTATAAGGATATTACCCTGAAAATTAATATTGAATTTTTGTTTTTTTATATAGGTCATGCAAGTTGTACAAAACGTATACTCATCGTCGGTCTGAAGCTCTTCTAGAACTAATTTTTCAAGATAATCTTCACTACATCCTGTATTTATGAGAATTTCTTTTGTTGTTCTTCTAATTTGAGTTTTAAATAGCAATTTATCACAACTATAGCATCGATAAGTCGGACCTTCAAGTATATTTGCTTCATAGTTTTGCAAAGCTGTTTCCCATGAAATGGTTTGTCCTCTTCTTTGACGACGCTGTCTATTATCCCGAATTCTTTCTTGTTCGTGATATTCGTGGTTGGTACGGCGACTGGTACGACTAGTTTGGTCACGACGTTGCTCTTCTGCTCTGTATTCTGGAGAATTTCTTCGATTGGTACGACTAGTTTGATCGTGACTTAGTTCATTTGCTCTGTACTGTGGAGAGCTTCTACGATTGGTACGACTAGTTTGGTCACGACGTTGTTCTTCTGCTCTGTATTCTGGAGAATTTCTTCGATTGGTACGACTAGTTTGATCGCGACTTAGTTCATTTGCTCTGTACTGTGGAGAGCTTCTACGATTGGTACGACTAGTTTGGTCACGACGTTGCTCTTCTGCTCTGTATTCTGGAGAATTTCTTCGATTGGTACGACTAGTTTGATCGCGACTTAGTTCATTTGCTCTGTACTGTGGAGAGCTTCTACGATTGGTACGACTAGTTTGGTCACGACGTTGCTCTTCTGCTCTGTATTCTGGAGAATTTCTTCGATTGGTACGACTTGTTTGATCGCGACTTAATTCATTTGATCTGTACTGTGGAGAGCTTCTACGACTGGTACGACTCACATTGTCACGAATTAATTCATTATTTCTATTATCTGGATTATTACGATATTCTTCTCTTTGTCTTTGTCGTTTTGCTTTCTCTGTTTTTCCAGTAAGTGTTGGTTTTCTTCTTTTAGACATAATTACACTGGATAGAAATTTAATTTAATTTAGATTTAAAGTATCATTTTAGATGAATTTGAATTTCTACTTACTTTTTAATTAAAATGAAGGACAAGTTAAATACATTTAGATGACTGTTTTTATTAATATATTATTTAAAAACTATTTATTATACTTTAATTCACACACATTTAAAAAGTATTATGGTCAAAAAGTTTGGTTAAATTTTTTCCTTTCTCTATAAATAGTATCGTATCCTTAGTCAATCATGCACCTCATTTCTAGTTTTTTTACACTTTAATTTACTTCAACAAACTATCGTATTAACATTTTAATTTGCACAAAAATATTTAAATCTAACTTTTTTATATTAAGACAAATGACATTCGAACACGACAAAACATTTTCAAAAATTTTTATTATTTTTTCATCAAAATATAGGCAAATTACAAGTCGCAATATTAAAATGGTTTTAAACGCTAGATATTTACATTTATCATTTTAAAGCAATCTGTTTATAACAAAATAAATCTGGATACAATAAGAATTTTTTTGTTAAACGTTTTTTGCCATTCAAAATTTTAACGGCTTTTTTGAAATTTGAAATTGTCCTATCAAACTCGTATGTTATGCAAAAGTCGGCTAAGCCGCTGCAAAAAATATATAAAAGTTAATTTAATTAAGTTTTGGTACGAAGTTATGAAACATAAAGCGGATTCGGTTTGCCTACAATATGGCAACGATTGAATGCAAAAAACCCGAAGGCTCTATGTGCTTTCATTGCTGAGATCTCACGGTACCTGCCTGCCAGCCTGCCAGCCAGCCAGCCAGCCAAAGTGAAGATAAAAGCGTATTGTTCCTTAGGAAAATACGCTAAAAATGTATAAATCAGATATTGATTTATACAAGTCACTTAATTGTTCAGCAAAGTACATGTCGAGTCCCATAAAACGTACAAAATCATTGTAAAATTTCATGTAAAGTGCACAAAACAAATTGCTCGGATACGTCCCTAACAATTAGTCACTGTAATAAATTGAAGAATTAAATAAAGGAAAAAAAATAAAGTTTCATTAGCATATGGAAAGAAAATATAAAATATATGTGGCCCCGAGGGTATCAATAACACAAATTCTCCCGTTCAAGGGACTGCCATGTATGCCAACAATAAAAAAAGTAAATATGAAAAATTGCTCATACTCATAAAATCATAAATTTTAAAAAACTGAGAGAGTAAAAATAGGCAAATGAAATTTTTAATTTTGGGGTCGTTCATAAATGATGTTTAATTTTTATGGGATGAGCAAAGGTGGTCTGACTCTTGTGGTTCTGATTTATTTATAAAATCTTTAATATCGAGGAGGAATGGTCAAATGTCATTTGCAATCGACCCCTTTTAGGGTTCAGCACTGCAGTCATATTGCCGAAAGCCCCACACTCAATCATTAATTTACACAAAAATAAAACTAGCTAGGATAAAATATTCAAAACGATTTGCAATATTTAAAAATCCAATTCAACAGGTTCTGCTTAAAAAAAACTTTTCTTCACAATGCGACTCGATAACGAAATGCATTTTTCATTCAACAAATTTTTTTTCTTTCTTTCCCATTTAGTCATCAATAATTTTTCATTTTCTTTCGACTATCCATTTCAGGCGCTTTGACTTCAAAATATTTATTGTTACACAAATGCGAGCTCTTCGGCTGTGCCAGCGATGGAAAGGGGAAATATATATTCAATATTTTATCAGATCGCTCTAGCAGTGTAATAAGATTGCATATAACTATTTTTATAGTCTTATTTTTTTTATGGACAAAAAATTGTACAATATTATGCAGTTTGTAAATTGCATTTGAAAGGGAAGAATGAGAGAAATGTTTATGCAATGTATGAACGAGCAATTTGTAATAAATAAAAATTTAAATGAATTTTGTAGATAAGGCAGAACTGAAAGAAGGTCAGCAGTTTTTTGATGAGGTATTGAAGAATTTTTATGGCTATTTTTACTGCAACGTTTGTTTGAAGTTTACAGCAAATGATTTAATGTTGAAGTAATGATTTAATGCCATAGTAAAGCTTTAAAGCGATGCCTTAAATTCTAAATCAATTCTTTGTTTTTCATGCTATGTTTTGATTCCATAGCAACGCTTTGATTCTGAAGCTACGCTTTGATTCTAAAGCAATGCTTTGATTCTGAAGCTATGCTTTGACTTTTAAGCAATGTTTTGATTTTGAAGCATCGCTTTGAATTAAAATCAATATTTCTAATCGGAAGTAATGTTTCAAATTTAAAGCAATGCTTCTGATCTAAAGCAATACTTTTAATATAAATCAACGCTTCTAATCTAAAGCAATGCTTTAAATTTACAGCATTGCTCTAATTTAAAATTCAATTCCAGATGAAAAGGCCTCAAAATCTAGTATAATACATGAACTCATCTCAACATACAATCATGGTACAATTTCTAAACCAAACCATGATTACATTTCCCATAGCAAATCTAGAAAGCATCGACTAGATTTATCACACACTACCTTTAATTTATTTAATTTCCAACATGCATGTTTTTGCATTATGTTGCTTTCAACCTGCTTACCTCTAAATTATGCTACATAGGGAAAATTTCACTACACATGATGATGATAATCAACAAGACATTACAAGAAGAACAATAGCATAACAGTTAGCTGTGCTGTTTCTTTAAGAGACCTAAGAATGGAAAGAGCAATAAATTCTTTTGTCATTGCATCATCATCTTTTCAATGTTGTTATTATATGCACAATCGCGACACATAATAATATTTTATATCTTGTTAAGCGAATCTTGTCATAAATGCATCAGCAAAATGACAATTTATATCAAACTTGATCAGCATTCTTGATTGTTGTTTTCTTATTTTTGCATAATCGTCTTCCGTGTTTCTCTTTTACTGAGAAATTAATGGATTTGTTGATGATGCTGATGCGACTGAATGGAGATTTGACTTTTGTCTGCTGTGAGGTTATGTTAATAAGTTGTCAGTGTGAAATTTAAATTTTGAAAAGCCGTTAAATTTTTCATTTTATTCAATCCGTTAAAATTTCAAATTGTAAAAAAAATCTTTGAACAATTTTAAAATTTGAAAACTGTTAAAAATATGAATTTTAAAAAACCGTTATAATTTTAAATTCAAAAAAGTCGTTAAATGAATTTCTGAAAGTAACAACATTTCTATCTCGAATCGCGCCAAATCTAGCTCTTGCGCACTCAAAACACGAAAAGTTTGTTCTTTTCTTCTCAGTGTCTTTTCACATTTACTCTTATGGACAATGTTATTTTTTCCTGTAAACATTTTAAGGACTGTGAGCCTATGGTGTACATGTTCATCGCGATTATAGCAATCGCAATTTACATGTGCTACAAAGGTTGTCATGGAGTGATTAAAATATCCAGAAAAAATGCTGGTAAGCAAAAATTATCAAAATTTTAATTTTAAAAGTAATTTATTGATTAGAGGCTGTGTAATAGCTTAATAATGGTGCTTTACTCAGGTGTTAAGCACAGAGCTATCGAGAATTACAGCCATGCATATAAATAGTGACTAAATCTTTGCTTAAAATCACTAAATTTATATTTAATTGCAAATTTTCACACGAAACAAAGAAGAAAATTAGATTAAGAAATTTAGCGCCAAAAGCTCTCATTTTCGCAAAGAGAAGATATAAACAAAATCCCTAGAATTTGAGAAGTTGCGATATGCGCAAAATCAACTTCTCAAAACTCTCTTTTTTGGTCTAATTTCTCATTTGACGCACGTGCTTGGTTTTATTAACAACAAAATAAATTTTCTATATTTTTCATTGTAGAAAGGCAAGCAGAATCGGGTGTCCACGTCGAAGGTGGAATTTCTCAAGCAGTACAAAATACATCGGTTCAATTAAGTCACATGTAAGTTTTAACCTAACCCTAGTATCTACCCAACCCTAATATCTACCTAACCTTAGTATCTACCCAACCCTAGTATCTACCCAAACCTGGTATCTACCCAACCCTAGTATCTACCCAAGCCTAGTATCTACCTAACCCTAGTATCTACCTAACCTTAGTATCTACCCAACCCTAGTATCTACCTAACCCTAGTATCTACCCAACCCTAGTATCTACCCAACCCTAGCATCTACTTAACCCTAGTATCTACCCAACCCTAGTATCTACCTAGCCCTAGTATCTACCTAACCCTAGTATCTACCTAACCTTAGTATCTACCCAACCCTAGTATCTACCCAAACCTGGTATCTACCCAACCCTAGTATCTACCTAGCCCTAGTATCTACCCAACCCTAGTATCTTCCCAACCCTAGTATCTACCCAACCCAAGCATCTAATTAACCCTAGTATATATCCAACCCTAGTTTCTACCCAACCCTAGTATCTACCCAACCCTAGTATCTACCCAACCCTAGTATCTACCCAAACCTGGTATCTACCCAACCCTAGTATCTACCTAGCCCTAGTATCTACCCAACCCTAGTATCTTCCCAACCCTAGTATCTACCCAACCCAAGCATCTAATTAACCCTAGTATATATCCAACCCTAGTTTCTACCCAACCCTAGTTTCTACCCAACCCTAGTTTCTACCCAACCCTAGTTTCTACCCAACCCTAGTATCTACCCAACCTTAGTATCTACCCAACCCTAGTATCTACCCAAACCTGGTATCTACCCAACCCTAGTATCTACCTAGCCCTAGTATCTACCCAACCCTAGTATCTTCCCAACCCTAGTATCTACCCAACCCAAGCATCTAATTAACCCTAGTATATATCCAACCCTAGTTTCTACCCAACCCTAGTTTCTACCCAACCCTAGTTTCTACCCAACCCTAGTATCTACCCAACCCTAGTATCTACCCAACTCAAGCATCTAATTAACCCTAGTATCTACCCAACCCTAGTATCTACCCAACCCTAGTATCAACCCAACCCCAGTATCTAGCCAACCCTAGTATCTACCCAACCCTAGTATCTACTTAACCCTAGTATCTAGCCAACCCTAGTATCTACCCAACCCTAGTATCTACCAAACCCTAGTATCTACCCAACCCTAGTATCTACCCAACCCTAGTATCTACCAACCCTAATATCTACCTAAACCTAGTATCTACCTATATTAATAGATTAAAATTAAAAAGAAAATCAATTTATTTCAGATCGGACACCGAAGATTCTGTCGAACAAAAGAAACCAGTCAGTTTTGTCTGACTATTTCCACCGAGCCCAACTATTAGTGAGTCCCAACTTATACCAGATCTTCCAAGCTATACAGATGTTATGATTCAATTATTTGATAGTCAAAATAATTCAAATTCTCCGTCATCTCCACTAAGCGTCCATTACTCAAAAGGATCATCACAAAAGTTCATATATCCACAAGTAGTTCCTCATCGATCAGTCTCACTTTATCAAACAAATGAAGGATGCAGCATTTCCAGACCAATTGCATCTAAATCAATCAATTTGAACGATCTTCCAAGCTATAAAGAGGCAATGACATTGCCATCACCTAATCAATAGATAATCAATTTATGAGGACATAATCAGGATAATTAAAATCTACAAGAGTAGATCTAAGCCTACTCTACAACCTACACGATATTCTATTACTTTTGAGACTATTAAAATGGAAGTTTTTGAATGATTTTTCAAATGATATTATGAATTTCCTCTTGTTCCTAACTATTGTATACAATATAAAGATTTTAGTCAAAACATTTGCGAATCATTCAATGCTAATAGCTTTGATGAGTTCGTAAATGATAACAATAAATTTAGTTTTAATTGAAAAGTTAAAGATTTGAGTTTCTCCTTTGTATTTTAAGGAAAGTCTATATCAAGGATAAAATCAAAGCAGAGCTTGGGTATATGTCTGATCAAAGATGCTGTTCATAGTAGATTTACAGTTTAAGTTGTGATTCTGCTAAGCTTTAAAACATTCCTCAAAAGCCTAGTTGTAAAATCAGGCGACTAGAAACCTTAAAAGCGCGGGTTCGATTCCAACTCATGTCAAGTTGTGGTTAAGTTTATATTCTTTCTGCTAATTATTCAAAACATAATTCAAAAAGCATCAAAATCAAGCATTGACACGAACTTACTATCTGAACTCGAAAAACGTCATGACATTAATTTCCAATCCACAGATGTCACTTGCTTTGTTAATTAATGAAGTTATTCAGGTTAAAAATGCTCTTTTGAATCATTTCCACTTATGTATATACAAATTAATTCTAGAGTTCGTTCACTTCTGATATTTGGACCTCATCCCATCAATTTTCAACATCATAAGTGAATGAACCATCGAGTTTGTATATAAACAATAAAAACATATGATCCATCAACGCAATCTGTTTACAACTCGTCCTTGAGAATTTGATTCTGCGCAAATCCATTAGTAAAATTGAGACTCATAAATAGCTTTTGAGCATTTACTCAATTTTCTCTTCTTAAAAACTCAAAAACATTCAATATCAATTATGATTTGTTAACATTTGAATTGAAAATTTTGAAGAATTTTAAAATAATATTTATTAGAGTATTTAAAACATTTTAAATGTTAAATTAAATAATGTCAGAAGGTTCGTCAGGCAATGATACTAAAGACCTGGAACCAAAACCTGATGGATATAATGCATTATTTGTTTTTGCATTTGTGATTTTCATTTTGTGTGTTTATTCTTGCTTCGAAAATGATTCTAATATTGAGCCCAATGAGGATTATTTAGGTGAGTTTCTTTGAATTTTTGAATAGCATGATGTAATTGAAGTTTTAAAGATGATTGTGAAGAGCTTAAGAGAAATTCATAGAAATAATTGCGCCAAACTATCAATTTTTCATAAATTTAATATACGGGATCTTAATTTTATGACACAATGTAAAAACCTATTTCGCAGCATTTAATTGAGTTTAATAATTAGAACTGAATCTTTCTCCAAAATTGACTTCTTCAATAAACATCCAGCAAAACTGGCGATTCCTTTTAAAAAAATACAAAAAATATAGTAAAAGTCAATGCTTTTGCGCACAGAGAACTTCAATTGTTATCTCAAAAATATCTTCTTACTCTCACGATGCTCTGCCTTTTTGTCGGTAAATTAATGTTGTTTACATTTTTTGGAGCACGTGACGTATAAAGTTGGCATCTAATTTAATTCAGTTCCTCAACAATCTAATGATTTGAAGAATAGGATGACTTTGTGAATCAATTCACTACATTTCATATCTCTGAGATAATTGAACTTATCATGACCGAAATGGCTTGAACATACATCGTAATCTCATTTATCTCTTTAATACCATCAACTAATTAGATCCACAATTCAAATTTATAATCTCATTATCATCAGATCGAGTCCTTCGAGAGCGAAGAGCGCGAGCATCAATAAGCAACCGTCCAGTTCCAAGCTATTGTCTTGAACGAGTAGCGACTGAAGTAAATACAAATAATCTCTTAGCAGCTGACTCTTATTCGGATGATAGTCCAATTTTGTCAATGAATTCTGCCATTCGGTAAGTTTAAAACTTGTTTGAGAAATGAAAAAAAAAACGATTATGTGTTGGTTAGAGGTTCAATTCTTATGATTCTATAAAATATTTAGAACCCATCATTTGATCTAAGAAATTCTGGATTTGGTTAAAAATTATTAATATGGGGCATTTAAACTAGAGACGGATACTAAAGCTATCCAGAGAAACTATGACAGGGGAGGTATAGTTGAATACACAAGTGTAAAGCTAGGCACATACACTAGAGTAGGGCTAGGAACAAACAATTGTGTAGGGCTAAGAACATACACTAGTGTAAGGTTAGCAATGTACACTAGGGCACTCTGTGATGTCCTAGACACCTGCCCTCGAATCAAAAGCTACTACAAAATTTCAATAATTTAAAATAAACCAATTTAATTACAAAATATTTATTCAGTACTTTTCTAATACAACATCTTAGTTTTGTTACAATCTTAGATTCAAAAGAAACTTTCAAATATCTAGATTTATGAACAGAACTTTAATCTTTTTCAAATATTTTCTCATAAATATTGTCGACTGCTTCTCCTTCACTAGACATCATCCAATTAAACAAATTCCTTGTATTCGCACACTTGAGGCTTTTATCGAGCTTATTATTGTTTTTATTAATAACAAGTGATAATATTTTATTTTTCAATTGCCACTTGTTATTTGCAAAAACCATTTCTAAAAACTCTTTATAAAGCTTAAAAACAGGAGTTGTGCATGGAGCAAATAAGTTATGTACGTGTCGAAATAGAAACAAATTTTGAATTTCTACCCATGTGTATGCATATCGGATATAAAACTTTCTCGTTTGTTCGAAAACTTCTGGATTGCTTACACGCGATGATTGAAGCAACGGTGGTGTCCATTCGGGAAAGTCATGAAATAAAATTTCTCGAACTCTATCAATCGAACATAATTGTGAAACGCCTTCAAAAACGAGAGCTATAGCTTGCGGAGTGATGTGATCATAACAAATTTTTATAAAGCATTCTTCGACAAATCTTCCCGGATTGGAATTCATCATTCTATCAATTATATCGACTTGGATGTATCCACTGTAGCATGGCACTCGATAAAAATTATTCAAGAATCTATTCTTAGCTTCTATGTTGAGACTTCTGTAGTATAAGTCACAAATTTTGATCATATCATAGTCATTGTACCTGATTTCATACTTTTCAATTGTCTCATTTGTTATCAATTTTATCGGTGATCTGTTAAATAATTGATGCCAATTTGGACCAAGTGAAGCTGTTACTGCCTCGATAAAGATTGATGAATGTGACTCCATCCAACCTTTTAACACGTATTCATCGAGAAGAGTGATTTTATCTCTAAGCTTGAAAAATTTGATCTTCATATCGACATTGGTGGACATAAAAATTGCAAAATTCTTAAGAATGTTCTTTGAGAATCTATTGATGTTGTTTGGATCATGAATATGACGCAAATTATCGTAAATGGCTGACTTTACGACATTTGAAACAATTTTACTCTTACCAAGTGTCTTGAAGTAACTGATTAAGAAGTTACAGCAAACTTTGTCAGATCTATGGCCGCACATGATTCTGATGAACAAGCTGACTATGGATTTGACTTCAATAATGCTCATATTATTATTATCGCCATACAGGAAGCTAATGATGAATTGTGCGACAAAAAAGTCAGCATAGCTTTTATGCACAAACTTGACGGTGCTATTTAAATTTCCATATATGAATCCATAACGTTGAATATAGTCTGATGTCCATTTCATTTTATCTTCATTCCAGTCTTTTACAATAGTCAATGAATTCATTGACATACTCGGAAATGATGTCAACAAAGCTAGAGCTCGATGAACTTCCCAAATATTTAAAATCGTGTCATTTACTCGTTCCTTTGGATGAATTTTTGCTAAATCCAGCTGATCTTCAACTATAGTTGCAAAAACATCATAATGACTTTCTATATTGAGCTTTCTTCTATGATATGTGCAATAGTCTACAATTGACTGGATCATGTATAAGTTATTGATATCACTACGACAAGAATCATCTGATTTTAACTCTTTTAAATATTCAAGCACTTCAACTCTGATTTTCTTCTGTTGACCTGGTTCATTGATGCCTTGAAAGTTTATCATATTATTAATTATGCTGCATTTCTCTTGATCTGTCATTGGCGCAAACTTATAAACATCAACATGTTTTCTTGTAAATGGTGCGAATTTGAATGATTCCTGACTCTCTAAAATCTGCTGAAAAGATGATGACATATGTGGTCTGGTTGATATCCACAGCTGAGTTCTTGAGTAATAACTCTTTGACAAAATTTCAAAAATTTTCTTCAATATTTTTGTAAAGCTTGGAATAGCTTCGTCGATGCCATCAAAAAATATAATTGCTTGTCCATTTAAAAGGGATTTTTTGAGAAGTTTATACTCAAAATCTGTCTTAACTCCCATGCAAATTAATAAAATGTCGCTTGCATCTTGATCAGTTACATCCTTATTGGCATATAATTCAAAAAGGTTCCTGTATCGTCGCAATTCAATGTATGAAACCCAGTAATTTCGTCTACGATCCTTTAATCTTGCTGCAAAATGTCTAAATGCAATTGATTTGCCAGTGCTTGCAAGATCCGACAGAACAATAAGTTTTGAACCGTTGATGTTTTTGAATGACATTTTTTCTTCTTCACAAATGAAATGATTTGAGCCATTTTCAAGATCCTCGTACACAAACTTTCTCTCAATAAGACTAAATTCATGTCTTAAATTGTGGCCTGTGTTGATCCTTAGTACTTCCTTATTTTCCAAAAGTAATTTGATTTCTCCACTTGTTAGATCATTCATTATGTCCTTTTCATCTTTAACTAGCTCCAATAATGTAGTTTGATATCCTTGAAAGTTTACAGTTCTTTGCAAAATTCTTTTCTTTAAGAATGGGAAAAGATTTTTAAATTTAGTATCTTTCGAGACTAAAGCACCCATTTTTGGAATTTAATTTATGTTTATGAACATTCACAATTTTAACTGATAATGTCAAGTGATGATTTTAATTGTTACTGAATTGATATGAATAATATGAAATGAATTTATAAGTGTAGATTAAAATCTCATTTCTGATAAATATTAGGTAGAAATGAAGCATTGCAGAAACTTTATGGTTTGGGAATTTTTGAGCTGTATTTACATTTTTAAACTATTGCAGTACAAGCAAAGCTTTAAAGAGAGGATTTAAGAAAGTAAACTAAGGAGATTGCTCAAATATTTGAGGGTTTGGATATTGAGCAATGGATTTATAGATTCGGTTTCTAGGACTATACTAGGTACTCTACCCTAGCATCAAAAATGATAGATCACAATTTGATCTATGATCAAAAATGAACTTACTCTAGCTTTAAGTATTAGCAGCGAAAAAGCAGCAGTTGACTAATGAACCCTAACGAACCGAATTCGATCCCACGTTTTTTTTAAAAAAAATACTAAAGTATTAGAGTAGCACTTAAAATCAGATATAAGGACATTCGTCAATAAGAATTCAAATCATTTTTAATCTCTAATTATTTTAAAATCAAATTATAATCAAAACTTCTTAATTCTAGAACCATCAACATTAATATCGATCATTCAACATCAAGACACCAACGAGCATCATTACCTCTATTTGATAACATTTCATCCGACCTTCCAAGCTATGGAGAAGCGATGAATCAATTATTCGACATTCATCATGGTTCACACTCATCAGAATTTCCATGCACTAGTCAACCACAACGACCAACATCACTTTATATCTCATCAAATTCACATCAACCGCCAACGCCTACTAGAATTAATATAACTCAGGGTAATGACCTCCCAAGCTACGGAGAAGCTATGGCACTTTTAGCATCGAAGCAGTCCAACTGTCAATAGATATAAAAATGAAATTTAAGCTTATGATGATTTTATACAAAAAAAAATTTGAGAGCTTTTTATAAAATTGAAATAAATGTTAATAATTTTTGTTTAAATGGAATTTCGAGAGTTTGAATTCTTTAAAAAATTTATTTCAGAAGTAGAAATTCTGTTCTTGGCATTGCGCAAAATCCCAGAGTAGAACAAGAAAACGTAAAAAAACATTTATTCTACTTCTCTGTTTACAATTAAAATAAAGTTTTCAATTTGTCCAATTTTTAAAAAGGAATTTAAAGGAATTTATTATAAAATTCCATTATAAATTAAAAATATGTCATTTCAAAATAGCTACTCAAATAAAAACGAAGGAGATTATTACTATGGAAGTGAAATTGCAATTGGATTTGCGTTTTTAATTTTAATGAGTTTAATATGTATGTGCTGTGATTTTGAAGAGCCGCCGGATGTTTATTTGGGTAAGTAGCATGACAATATACATCGGAATTTAATAATATGAACCAACTATTGATTGAAGAAGCTATGCTGTCGTAACCAAAATTGTTTACTGTCTTGTGTCTGAGAAAAGTCATTAACATAGTCTAGAATTACGTAGACTAAAGTGATGTCCTTGATGCATTGAATAGATAAGATAAATTAGAGAATTATTCAGATATTGAATAGCTTGTAATCTCAAACTTCCCCATGAACACATTCTTGATCCACATTAATTTCCAAAAATTAAGCATAAGTCACTACATTTACATACTCTTTGTATTTTACTTTACAAACAGAGCGTGTCCTTCAGGAAAGAAGAGATAGACTTGCATCAAGCACCTCTAGAACTCCCTACACTCGTCTTGAAGAAGTCACGACTGATCTTAATAAGAATAACTCTACAGCATCCAAAACTCAAACTGAAGTTAGTAGAATTTTGTCAAAAGACAGAGTCAATCGGTGAGTATCCACAAAAAAAATAGATCTATGATTAATTTGTATTTCTCAATTAGGTATTCTGGCCATGAATTCGGACACTCAACTCCAAGACAGATTTCACATCCTGCTTCTACTTCAGTTGACATTGCTGCTCAAAGATCATCTAGTTTTTCAGCTTATGATACAGCAAAGAGACTGCCAGAAGTACATTCTTCTACAAAAAGTTTCCACCAAATAGCACGGCCAACATCCCTTAATATTTCAGCACCAAATTCTCCTCATCGAGTGTCTCGAAAAAATTCTCCTAGTCGACACACTAGAGCGTCATCATTTTATCGACCAAAGTCAACAGCACATTATCTAGAAAGAAGATCATCACATCCTCCACATTCTTCAGCACCAAATACATTAATGCCAACATCACCAGATCAGCCTAGACGACTGTCACATACGCAACGATATGTTGAACATACTTCTAATGATTTTTCGTCGAGACCCGTAGTTCCTATTAGAGCGACTAGTAGATCACCGCCTTGTATAGATGTGCCGCCATCTTATGTATATCCAACTCAACCATACGCACCAGCTATCACGATTTCATCACAGGACTTAGATGATCTTGAAAGCTATGGCTGGAGATCCGATTATTATTAGAATAATTTAAAAAAAAAGTAAAAGTTCAACTCAAAAATAATCTTATGCAAAATTCTCAAGGCTTCCAAAAGTGTTAATGCTTATAAATGTTAAATAGAAGTTATTTTAAATTTTTTTGTAAGGGACTTGAAGTGTCCACCTTTTTTAATTTACATATCTGTTGATTAACAGCATGTATTTTAAATTTTTATGACAATAACGAAAAAAATTGTATTGAATGCGGTATGAGCATCAATGTTAATTTTAAAGATTAAATAAAAAATAAAACGAAAATCCCTAACGTCATAGTACAGTGACGCAGTCTAATCAGCCTCTTTGTTTATTTATGGATCATATGTTTTTATTTATTTTTTTTTTCTTTAAATTTTTTGCTTCAACCAAAAATTTTTGCAGGTCTATTTTTAGTTTTTTTATAAAAAAATCTTGTGGATTAGAGTTATTTGTTAGTGTCAGTAAATTAAGAATAAGTAGTAAAAGTAAAGGTAGCATGTCAGAAGTGATTGTAGGAATTGTTTTTGTTGTGATTGGATTTATAATATTTCTATTGATACTTGAATACATTTTTACATCTACATTAAATGATACTAAGGAACCATATGAAGATCTAAGTATTTAATACTTTAATTCAAACTGTTCATTAAAAAATACATTCTTAAAATAATTTGAGAGAACTGCGCAGAGAAAAAAATTTTCGTCTTATTCTCAAAAATTTCCTCTCATTTCATTTGCCGGTGTATTGTTTATTACTGCCTCTGTCTTTGTATCATTTTAATAACAGATCAGCAAGACCAAACAAATTTTCAGCAATCAAGAGACCAATATGATGTAGCCTTCAAATACCAAAGTTTCATCCTCGTCATGGACAACGATCGAATAAAGAAATTTTGGAACAAATTCGTCGGCACACTGAAGACAACCACTCAGTCCAAATTCAACCACTCAAAGCACCTGAAATTGGATGGATCAACGAATTACAGGATTCAAATAAACCTCCTAGCTTTTGTCAAGCTATAAGTCAGCTTTCAAAAAGTCATAATAATCTAACTGATTCTGTTCAGCCATCACCTTACATTATGTCATCTGGAAGCACATCTCACTTATATATGCCTTCAGCACCTCCAGCAAATAGTATGACTCAAGAAAATGATGTTTTGCCAAGTTTTGGAGAGGCAATGGTGTTTTTAACATCAAAATAATAGAATTAACTGTCAATAAGCATCATTTATATAGTTTTAAAAGTAAACTGATGCTGAAGTTGGGTCTGAAATTACTGTGACGTAGTTATATGCTAGGCTCGAAAAATAGGTGCTATTAAGCGGTATTTCATATAAAGAGGCGGTATTTGGGGGTATTTGTATGGAAGTTGGGGGTATTTGACAGTATACCGAGCCTGAGTTATATGCATGTCCTTACATTTAAGAATTTCAAAAAGTTAAGTAACAATATCCATGCAATTTACAGTGGATCAATAGAAACTATTCATCAAATAGAGTTCCTTGAAAGTTTGGAAAAATACTTGCAGACATGTAGGATGACCATCTACGAGATCTAGCAGCCTGTTATTTAGCATCATCTTCATATCTCAGCTAAGCAAGATTTTAAAGAATTTTAATAATTTGTATGTTGATAAATTGATGTTCATCCCACAAAACTACGTCATACTAGCTTCCAAATTTAACCATAAATTTTTACAAGAATGTAGTAAAAGATGTTGACAATAATAAAGTTTTATTTCCTTTAAAAACAATTTTATTTCCTTCGACGTCAAATAAGTTTCTGTGCGCAAAATCCTAATTCTCTTCTTATCGCTCGCCTCTCTTCGTCCTTTTCATCCTAGGACCTTTTTTTTTCATTCATTCTCATATTTCTTATAAATTCATTCTACGACGAACGTCAAATTTAGTTCGAGAATATTTTTTAAAAGGAAAACTTGTATTTATACAACAGTTAAACATGGATTTTGATATAAGAACTTATTTTGAAGGTGGAACGGTGGCAATATTTCTCATAATGTTAATAATTGTTGTGTTTTTATCGTGCCTTTGTGTTTGTTTTTGCAAAACGGGAAAGTCTCCTTCTCAGAATTTAGCGGATGAAAGCAAGAAGAAAAAGAAAGAAAAATATCTAGGTGAGTGATATAATTGGATCCTTACATAAGTTACAGTGGAAAAATCAAAAACAACTTTTGTAGACAAAAAAAAAATCAACAACATTTAAAAAAGTAATAAGGCATAAAAATAGTTGCGCCAAAACAATAGTTTATAGCAATATAAACAAAGTTTTTGCATAAAGAGCCTTTAAAGGCCTCTACCTTGACACATAAATAATAAATGTTTATAGTCAGGAAGTCGAAGAAAAAGTCGATAGTTTCATACTTACACTCTATGAATTCATTAATAATTAAAAAGTAGCTACAAAGTTCATTCATTCATATGACAACTTGATGAATGGCTTTTAATTAACGAATATGGGAAGAAATTTTTTCTTTCTTACTTCTGCGCAGAGAGAATTTGATGCTCTCTATTTTTAATGAAAATGTTTATTTACTTGGGTTTTAACCACGTGTGGTAACAGTCTATGATAGACTGTGTGACGCGGTATAGCCTAGGGAAACCCCATTAAGAGTCTAGAATCATTAGGTACAAATCCTTTAAACTTATCGACAGCACTGTATGTAATGATTGAATAATTGGAATCTTTTGAGAATCGAACGCATGTCTTAAAGAAACAAAGAGGGTCTGGTTCTCAGACACCAGACCACAGACACCTTAGTTGACAATTGAAAGATTTGCCTTTATGTTGCTTTGATACTAAGCAGTGAAATGGCATCAGTGGTCTAAGCGGTAGAGCGTTGGCCTTAAGTTCCAAAGGTTCTGGGTTCAATCTCAAGTCAAGTCAAGCTTTAGAAGCTTCTTTTTCCATTTTCACCGTTCTAGTTACGAAGCTCGTGTGTTGGGTGTAGTTTTGAGGTCTTCGGATCATAAAGTGTCTCTTTTACTAGGAATACTAGCAACTAGAAACCGAACTATCAAGACCTTGAATTATTATGCAAGGTTAAATCCAAAATATGGCTCCGAACCCATTATTTTCGATAGTAGAATTTTCTCGAAATTTTTTATCACATCTACGTCATTCTTCTTACTTCCCTTATGAATCTTCTTACCTTTTTCCTTTCAAATCCTTAGATCGAGCGCTTAGAGAACGAAATGAACGAACATCTACTAAAAATATCGGACTCCCATATGTTCGGCCTGAATTAATAACAATTAAACCTCCAACGGATGTCCCGCAAGTACCTGAATATCGTACTGAGGAAGTCAGTATAAATATGACAGGAAAGCCAGCTACGCTGTAAGTTATAACACTCATGTTTAATCCAAATGACCAAATAATCAAGATTTTTAATAATCAATAGAAATACCGACAATAATTCTGGACAACAGGTTTCAACTCAAATCCTTCCATCGTCCAAGTCCTCACCCAAAGATTTAACATTGGAACTGTCCAGTGTTCCATATTATGCAGAATTCAGAAATAACTCTAAGAATCTAATTAGTCAAGATTCATATTCTCCTGATTCACAAAGTTCTACTTACAATTTACTTCCAACAACTCAAGCATCGTCACTATATCCATCGTCCAAATCTCGTCGAGTATCACAACCAGTTGCACCGCGTAGAATATACAGGCAAGTGTCAGATTTTCAAGATAAATATACACCACAGCAACGAACGTCACCAGCAATGTCATCTCAAAGAGTTTATCGACAGTCATCAATTAGTGATTTTAGAGGACCTTCATACTCACCGTCTAAAGTGACATATCACAATGGACTGAGAGAATCGTCACCCTATCATGAAAGGCGAACTCCTAGTTCACAGAAATCATATCGATATGATGCAATGAATGGCTCAGGTCACAACTCACCGAATTATTCAAATGGAAATTATGGAGGCTATGGAGGAGGCTATTACCACTCATAAATAAGAATTTAGAAGAAAAAAAAAATATGTGAATTAAATTTAAGCTCAAAGTAAAAAATTTTTGTATTATGTGCGAAAGTTAAAACTTTTAACTTAAATGTGCACAATTTGTTGTGCTTCCAAAAAAAAATATTAACTGTTCATAAAAGATTAAAATCAATTTTATCAACATAATTTTATGGACTTTATGGTGTCTAAATCTAACCAAAATCGAATTTTGAGTAGTCTAATTTTCAACATTTAACTTTTTAAAGTCATTTGATATGAGCTTAATGATTTTTGGACTGTTTTTGATTATTTTGATGATCGGTTTAGGATTTCGACTTTTTGAAATTTTAAATCCGATTGATTTTTGGGAATAGTAAGGTTTGGGGTGACTAGGGTCTGATATGGATAGCTACTATAATTCAAAACCATATCCAAAATGTGTAAGGGGCGGTAAGGAGCGGGTCTAGTCTCTATTCACTGGATTTTCAGACCCTCTCTCCAAAAAACGTGAATTAATAAGAGAATGACTCAATATGGCACTGATGTCCAAACTTTTTGAACCGCGGCACATCTATGGGGTAAGTCATGACTGATGTTAAACACAGAATTTCAAAAAAAAATCTACGGAACACTAGTGTCCCGCGGCATACAGTTTGGACAACACTGCAATATTGTTTTAAGATATCCTACAAGACCCTCCTATAAAGGAGTATACTTAAATGAAATCCGATCCAAAGGAATGTTAAACAATGTTAGAATGATTAGCAGCAGGAGCGCTTTGGGCATAATCCTAAAGCTTACTAACATTTTAAATTAAAACAATGACCCCTTACCCACCTGATTCCTTAATGCGCTCTTGCATAGCTGTGTAGTTTGATGGTAGATTAAATGGTGATTGAAAACTAAAATACAAGAAAAAAAAATTAACCCTCAAATGACTATTATGTGAAAATAAATTTTCACTCGTCGTAATTAACGGAATACTACACTAGTAATCGTATGAATGAACAATAATGTAGAATACTATTTTTAAAGTAATGTTTTTAAGGTCAAAAATAAAGATAAAATTTTATTTTACCTCTGTGAATTTTTCGGAGTTTTTTAATAGTTTAAAATTAGAAATCAAAATATTGGCCATCAATGAAAGTAAAATTGAACACACGTCAAAAAGTTTAGCGGCAAAATCCCATCACAACAAACTCTTCACGAAGCTCAAATTAATTACACGGTTAAGGTCAATTATAATGCTGACTAACCCATCAAAATTGAAGATTTTGCACATCGAGCATTATAACACTTTCAAATTGATTGTTAAATCATGAAGTACGGACATGTATGTATTTATTTACTTACTATCATTATTTTCTGTAATTTCAAGAAGAAGCGATGAAACAAGAAAAAGTTTATGTGAAGGAAACGACTGGAAAGAAAATAAATTGTTTATGGATTTTAAAAAGTGAATTTTTTTGGTGAGGTAGGTGCAGAATTCAACAGACAGAATGACTTTGTATGGTTAAAAAGTTTCAATTTCGAAAGTTAAAAATTTTAATTTCGAAAGTTAAAAATTTCAATTTCGAAAGTTAAAAATTTCAATTTCGAAAGTTTAAAACTTCAATTTCGAAAGTTAAAATTTTCAATTTCGAAAGTTAAAATTTAATTTCGGTAAGAAGATTCAAATTAAAAGTGAAAATTTCATTTTCGAAAGTGAAAATTTTAATTTCGAAAGTGAAAATTTTAATTACGGAAAGAAGATTCATATTAAAAGTGAAAATTTTAATTTCGAAAGTGAAAATTTTAATTTCGAAAGTGAAAATTTTAATTTCGAAAGTGAAAATTTTAATTTCGAAAGTGAAAATTTTAATTTCGGAAAGAAGATTCATATTAAAAGTGAAAATTTTAATTTCGAAAGTTAAAATTTTAATTTCGAAAGTGAAAATTTTAATTTCGAAAGTGAAAATTTTAATTTCAAAGTAGTTAAAATTTTCTTAAGTTAAAAATTTAATTTCAAAACTTATAAATATAATTTAATTTTGAAATTCAGACTCATATTAAAAAGTGAAAATTGAAATATCGAAATGTAAAAATCGCGCTTTCTCGTTTCATCCCTTCATAACTTTTCAATTTTACTTTATTTTTCGCTACATTAATTCATAGCAAGAGGAAGCGCAGAGTGCAAAAAAGTTAAATTAAATTAGTGAAAGTGAAAACATATGAGACATGAAGTTGATGATGACGATGATTCACATTTTCTCACGTCGTTATTTCTAGTGATTGCCTTACTCGTCTGCAAATTTCGTGATTTGTCATTTTAGTGGATAGGAAATGTATAAAGATGAAGTACAAATTTATCTATGAAGTGATCTATGTAGGATGAATGAAGCGAGACGTGAAGGTGGCAGGAGTTTAAATGTGAAATGTAATAAATTTGTAGACTTTTGAGATGTGCATTTATGTAGGAAGATAATTTGATGCTTCATGTAAGGATGTGGAGTTTATGTTATTAAAGAATTACATTTTCATTTTAAAATTCTACAAAAACTAGTTTGTCTTAAAACCATATAAATGACCGGTTTCAAAGTGAAAGTTCCATGCAATAACTAAAACATACACTTTAGTCCAATTTTAATGACAATTTTACAGCATTTTGCTACAAGATCCATCAGGAAGTTTGACCACAATGACCTCAGAGCCATCATAAGGTGAAATATTTTACAGCATTAACAAATGACCACAAGCCAAAAGTCATTTAAATAATTTCACCATTTCATACCTAAAGTTAATTGAAGGAAGTCATTGCAGAACAAACTTAAAATGACAGCATGAAAAATTGATGGAATTAATCATTTTTGGTAAGTTACAATCCTTGCCTTAGGGCTTAAATGCTTCCGTTGTTATTGACATGTCGCTACTGTAGAAACAACTTAATTTAGTTTTAAATTCAAGGATAAAAAGTTTTGCAGCTAATTTAATTTTGTTTCCTTGTTTTGCAGGACATTGAGCAATGTCATGATTGATTTGAATGGATATTTTGATACAGCAATGAACTTGTTGGACATAATTGGATTGAATGTCATTGACTGATTTTGAATTTGTTTTCTGAGTTTTTGGATTTAAATATAGATTGTCAGTTAAGAATTTCCCGATCTGCACACATTGAGATTCATTCAAATGTTTGCCAGCAGCTGGTCGGGATGATAGTATAATTAGTATAATTGGAACCAAGCTGCAGCCGCTTGGAAACCATTTCCAACTGGACTATCAACCTGGCAAACTTTTAAATGAATCTCAATATGTGCCGATCGAGTTTGGAGTTTTAAGTTTTCAAGAATTCGTTTAATAATGTTAACTTACCATAAATCAAGCTATGTCTCATCGGATACACGAATATCATTTCGTCCAGCAAAATTTTTAATTTTTCATATTAAAAAATTAGAAATCATTCAAAATGAATTTATTTATAATTTTTTAAGTTTCTCTCAAAAAAATAAATAATTTGTTTCTTTTGAATATTAAAAGAGAATGACAATTAAGATGTTTATAGAGATGAATAAATTGATAACAAAATGTTATTTGAATATTTTTCTCTTGATTCATTCATGCAGTCATGAATGGACGTCGCATTCAATAATGAAATTCAAAAAGGGACAATAGACGTTTATTCGAGACTATTTATGGCACAATATGAGATTATTTAATGGAACAAATCAATCAATTATGTAAGCCGATGCGAAAAATTCACTTCTATGTTGTGTTTATTGGACATTCACATCAATGCGACCACATTTTTCTGGTCTATGCATTCAACATGTAATTTACATGCGAGTAAAATTCACAATGAATTGGTCAAATTAGTATTGCGTGTAATTTGCATAATGGAGCAACAGCAGCGGGAGCAACAAACGAGGGAAATATTTAAATACAAAACAATAATAATAAATGGTCTAATCGTGATGTTATGAAGTTGTTATCCAGTTGTTGCTGTATTCATTTTCCAATGAAGAAAATGACTGATAATATGGATTGTTAATATTAATTGGGTTTGAGATAATTTTTGATGGGATTGGCATTGAGAAGATGAAGTTTTGAGTCACATTGAAGTCTTGTCTTACAAAAAGATTTGGTTCGAGCCATCAGTAACTCAGCTAAGGATGGCAACACTAAACGTCTGATTATATTTCTGGATAGTTGTTTAATGCAACTGGAGATTCAGTATTGTCATAAATCAAGGTTTAAACCATCGTCAGATACTAGAAAAACTATATTTCAAAAATGCGCTTTATTCACTAGACCTCAAAAAAATTCTTACTTGTTTCTAAATTATCCAACCGAATCCTTCATATTTCAACAAATTCTTTTCATCATGCAATTCTATTCGTATCCCAATCATCAACAACAAAAACTCTTTTTGCATCACTTCAGTTGCGCTTTATTCGAAGGTCTTTGACTAAAGGCGATGGATATTACTGTCCATAACAAAAGACAGAAACTAATTATTATTGACGATAAATACTCATAATATAAACCAGTCTTTTGTTGTATCCATTTTTTTGAAGTTCAAAGTGTTAAATGGTTAAATGTAATTAAGGCACTACATTTAATTTTTTTATATCCATATGCAGCTAATATTCGCTATATTTTGGCATCAAAATTATTTTATTTTTGGTAAAGGTCAAAATTGTTTTTAATGATCTACAGATGAATCATTTATGGAAGACATTAATAGCACATGAAGCTTAAAATTGACATTTTTAAAAAATTGTCACATGCCTTTTAGGAGCACGTAAAGTGAATAAATTTTAAGAGAACATTAAAGCACAGAGGAAGAGAACATTAATGCCTAAAAATAGAAAATGAGAGCGATCGTGCTCTTCTCGCCGCACAAAAAATATTGAAAAAAAAATCCTGACCTTGGACAACAGATGAGTTTTACTATCGTAATTTAAAAATAATATTCAATGAAAAAAAAATTTATAAAGATCATCAAATTAATTTTTATAATCAGTACACGTGATTGAAAAAGTAAAAATGTGTTCATGCGAGAATGAAAACATCAACAAATGAAGCCGAGCTAGCTCAGTCGGTAGAGCATGAGGCTCTTAACCTCAGGGTCGTGGGTTCGAGCCCCACGTTCGGCGATTCTTTTTTGCTCTTTTTTTCAATTTTCAAGAAATTTTTTTAAGTTTAAAAATTAAAATTATTTAACATTTTTAAATTTTGCATAAAATTATTTAAAAATAAATGAAGTAGCTACTGTCTTTAATTCAAATGATTGGTTGTCTAGCCTTGATCGAATTTCAATTTTTTTTATCGATTATCTCATGATAAGAAAACACGTGTTGAATAAAACTACATTATCCAAAATTATTTCCATAACACACATTTTTTAATCAATATCAAACAAACTATAAATTTTGTAGGTTTTAGGAACGTATTTTGAGTTGAGTATTTTGTCAGTTCAACAGTGCGATTTTGATGAATTTAGGAAGATCGGTAGACAAACTGTTATTTTATTTTAATTTTTATGGCTTATTTTTTTAATACTTAAACATTTACAAGTAGTTATATCAAATGAAGCGTATACCAGAGACTGTATAGAAATTAATAGATTAGAATTTTTTTTTGAAATTATTTATTATTTTTTTATTTCAATTAAAGGTTTCAAACCCGATTAATTCATTTAAAATTTCAAAAAATTTAAAAAATTGCTAGGTTTTTTTCGGTTATTTGCACCATTTCTCCTTGTTCTGAATATTTTAAAATATTTTGATTAAAAATGAAAAAAAAAACACGTTTAATAAGAATTGAATATGCACAACAACTGTGTAAATAAATTGATAAAATTCGTGAATATTAATTATTAAGAACTCATTATTTACAACCTAGTTGCGTGTCGACTTTATCAATGAAAAGATGGTTAAACTTTGCATACAACTTTTTGCAATTGCTTCGTTATTCAGCTTGGCATCGAGTTTGGAAACATATGCAGTTGTGCTGTCTCGTGTATTCTTTCAGGTTCATCCAGCAGGGTAAAATCAAATCCTTACCGAAATGTTAAAAACATTAACTTTAAAGTTTAATTTCAGTGGCCAACCATTCAACTTAACCTCAAACATAACATATGCTCGACAATTTTGTCCAACTGATGTTTCCATCTCGTGGGTTGTTCATGGATGGAGTGAAGGATTCTACAAAACAAAATGGGTCCCATTGGTAGTAAACAGCACCTTACAATATGCTGGTGGATGTGTCGTTTTCATGGATTATTCATACTTTTCAAAATTGGGATATGGTGATCTTGTCGCAAGATATTACTTACTACGTGATGTCTTAAGCAACACAATGAAGCTTTTTGGAAACTATGAAAAGATGCATGTCTTTGGATTCAGTTTTGGTGCTCGACTTGCTATCGGTGCTGGCAATAATATTACCAACTTATATAATAAAGTCCCACAAATACCTCGAATGGATCTTTGTGAACCTGCTGGTCCTAATTTTGCATCCACAGATAAAACTTTCGCTCCAGCTAATAGAAGTGCCAGTTTGGTTCAAATCATCAATACCAATAGTTTTGGTTATGGTACTGGAATTTATGATGGACATATTAACTTCAAAATGGGTCATTGTGGATTGTGGCAAGATGGTCAGGGATCACCTCCAATGGTAGAATGAGAAAACTGTTTTTTTTTTATTTTTCATAACCTTACAAAATATTAAACCTTTTTCATAGGGTTCGCATGGAATGTGTCCATACATGTATGCTTACGCATTCAAAACTGACTACAAATACAATGCAATCTACTCAAAAGAGTGCAACTATTCCTACACTAAGAATCGTCCAATTAATGCTACATGCCAGCAAACCATGATTATGGGTCGACGAAATAAGTAATTAAAATTAAAGTTTAAAATTATTCAAGATTTATAAAATAAAATTTTAATTTTAGTGTATTCTGCTATGGAGATGTTCTGATTCCAACAGCTAAGTGCGCTCCGTATGTCTACAATGGGACGATTTATAACTATCCTGTAGGGAAGAAAACTTGCTAATGGAAGGAGTTCAATATAAAAGCAAAAAGGTCTTACTGTAGTTAAAATTATTGGTTTGAATAAAGATTTGAACCTTATTTTATTCCTATAGTTGAATGTGAGGCTCTAGAAGCTTAACTAAGAGTGGTTAAAACTCTTTTAACTTTTCAATTTCGAAGAGATTTTTTAAAAAATCTCAACACCCCTAATCCCATAATAGAACGAAGCTAGTTGGCTTAAATTCTTGTGAATTCCTTTTTTCACACAAGAAACTTCAATTCTCACACTTACTAAACAATCACTAGTGTCAATACATAAAACAAAAATTTTAAAGATGTTATTTACACCTGCAAGCATATTATATATCCTGTTTTACGTTCTTAATCAAATAATCATTATTACAATAAATAGCTAATGCTTTACATTTATTTCGAAATTTTATTACAACTTATTTTAGTTTCTCTTCAACTTTTACAGAGTGAAGATGATTAAGTCATTCTTAAAAATTGTTCTACTTGCCACGTTGGTGAATTTGGCTTTGAGTCAAGCTTCAAGTCAGGATCCATATGCCATTTTCAATGTACCTGGGCGTATATTCTTTCAGGTTTATCCAGCAAAGTAAAGTATAGCATCTGATTTATGTAGAAAAAATTAATAAATTTATCTTTACAGTGGAACTGCATTTAATCTAACCACATCGACTATGACTAACATACTTCAAGCATGTCCAGATAATGAAACTCTATCATTCATTATTCATGGATGGTCAGAAGGATTATTTAAGACAAAATGGATTCCATTGGTTTTAAACAGCACATTAAATTATTCTGGTGGATGTGTCGTTGCTATGGACTATACGTACTTTGCAGCGATGGGATATGGAGACCTTGTTTATCGATATTTCTTACTCCGTGACTCTTTAGTCACTGTCATGAACCTTTTTGGAAATTATAGTAGAATGCATGCCTTTGGATTCAGTTTTGGTGCTCGACTTGCTATCGGTGCTGGAAATGTCATTGCAGGTTATAATAATGGAGTTCCACAAATTCCAAGAATGGACCTTTGTGATCCAGCTGGTCCATTTTTCATGACTTATGAGTTTCCATTCGCACCAGCACAAAAAGCTGCAACGCTTGTCCAAGTCATCAACACGAACAGCTTTGGGTATGGAACTGGAATCTATGATGGACACATTAACTTCAAAATGGGTCACTGTGGCTTATGGCAAGATGGTCAAGGTGCTCCACCAATGGTAAAATTACATTAAATAAATTTATAAATTTTGGAGACGTTATTAAGCTATTTTCAGGGATCCCATGGCATGTGTCCTTACATGTATAATCATGCATTCACTTATGATTATAAGTATGATGGTCGTTATAAGAATGAATGTAACTATGCATATACAGCAAATCGTCCTATTAATACCACGTGTCAACAAACAATCATCATGGGACGTCGCAACAAGTAAGTATCCACGTGATAATATTCTAATAAAAGTCATTTTAATTGCTCCTAACCTTAATCATATTTCCAGTGTGTTATGTTATGGAGATGTGCTGATACCAACAGCAATTTGTGCACCTTACATCTACAATAACACCATCTATAACTATGCACCAGGAAAAGTCACTTGTACTTAAGCTGTGAAGTTTTAAAACAATTTTTTTTTTACTAAGTTTCAGATTCTAGGCAAAAATTATTGTAAAATAACTTTAATTTTTTTAATTTTAAATAAATTTTAAAATTTGAAAATTTCAATAAAAAAAACTTCAAAAGACTATTTTTTCAAAATTTTTAAATGTAAGTAAACATTTTGAGTCAACAGATAGGAGCTGATGGCAAAACATATGTCAACTAAGGCACATAAAACAAAACCTTCAATTTCTTAGTCAAATAAATATCATTTTCACAAATTAAAATGTGTTTCAATTAAATTTTATCGCAATTTATTTTTTAGTTTCTTTTCATTTTTGGCCAAGTGAAGATGATTAAGCTATTCTTAAGTTTTGTTCTACTTGCCACGTTGGTAAATTTGGCATCGAGTCAGGCTTCAAGCCAAGATCCATATGCTATATTCAATGTACCTGGACGTATATTCTTTCAAGTATATCCAGCAAAGTAAAAATAAATCAGTCAAAGAATGTTTTATCTCAAACTTTAACTAAACTAATCTTTACAGTGGAAGTCCATTTAATTTTACATCTACAACTATGACGAATATACTTCAAGCATGTCCTGACAATGTTCCACTTTCATTCATCATTCATGGATGGTCAGAAGGAGTGTTTAAAACAAAATGGATACCTTATGTCCTTAATGCCACTTTGAACTATTCTGGTGGATGTGTCGTTGCAATGGACTATTCATACTTTTCAGCTATGGGTTATGGTGATCTTGTCTATCGATACTTTTTGTTACGTGACAGCTTGGTCAATGTGATTAATCTTTTTGGAAATTACAGTCGAATGCATTTCTTTGGATTTAGTTTTGGTGCTCGTCTTGCGATCGGTGCAGGAAATGTCATTGCTGGTTATAATAATGGAGTTCCACAAATTCCAAGAATGGACCTTTGTGATCCAGCTGGGCCAAATTTTATGACTTATGAGTTTGCTTTCGCACCGGCACAAAAAGCTGCAACTTTGGTTCAGGTCATCAATACAAACAGTTTTAATTACGGTACAGGAATTTATGATGCTCATATTAATTTTAAAATGGGACATTGTGGAATATGGCAGGATGGTCAAGGTGCTCCACCAATGGTAAAATTACAATTGTAAATAATTTATTGAGTTTTATTAAAGAATATATTCACAGGGATCTCATGGCATGTGTCCTTATATGTATTACTACTCATTCTTCAATGATTACAAACACAATCCGGTTTATAAAGCTGAGTGTAATTATGGATACTCAGCGAATCGTCCCATTAATGCAACATGTCAACAAACTATGATCATGGGACGTCGTAATACGTAAGTATCCAAATTCCTTTAAATGCTGCTTAACCAATAAATCTTTTCAGTGTTCTGTGCTATGGAGACGTTCTAATTCCAACATCGATATGTCCACCATATCTCTACAACAACACCATTTACAACTATCCAGCAGGAAAAGCAACCTGCACTTAAATGATGAGTTTTTATTGATTTTTTTAAAGCACATTTAGACTTTTTGTAAAAATTCCAATTTTTAAAAATAAACAAAGCACATCCACAACTGCTTTCTCACAAAATACATCCATTAAACCTTATAACATGGCATCAGCCATGTAAAATCGCTTTTATATGTCATCAAGAGAATTAAGAATGAATCATGTTTACAATACACAATCAACATTGATTAATCTTCATCCGTGCTAATTTGTTAATAATGAATAACAACTTAGTGAGATGAGCTTCATTCAACAGCAATAATTGTGTAATCCCATTCATTAAAAGAACGACAAAAGGAAGCTGTGAACTAAAACTTTTCTCTCAAAAATTCATTCTCTGTGTTGCCATTGAAATGGAAATTGTGTATATAGGCAAAGCATGTTCGTCATTATTTCTAGGTCAAAGTCAATTTTGTGTTGGAAAAAAGTTTTTCTTCTTTCTACGCAACACATTATAATGTTGCAGCTGAATAAAGCGTTTGAACAGTTGTTTTGGGATGAATATATCCGTAAGTTTGAAGATGTAGAAGCTTAGTCATGGAGAGTGGATGTGGAATGAAGGCATATGGTGCAAACTACAATTCTATCATTTCATGGGTCTTGTTTGATTTTAGATACTTCATAGATTTTAACCTAGAATTCTGGACACCAAAAAATGCGCTTTATTCCTGTCTACCCTAAATTTCTCTTACTTATTAATCACAATATCACCAAAAAGCAACTTTTTGTAAGCACCGAGAAGAATTGAAAATAAAACAGACAGAGGAAACTGATGACAATTGAAATGGTAAGCTAGAAAGTCAATTGAGGTCTTGAAGACACACAATTTTCTTTTCTATCGTACACAATATAGCCATTTGTCAAAATATTTGGACTGAATTCAAGATATTCAATTCATAATATTGAATTTGATTGAAGTATGTGAGACATTTGATCATCAAATCAATTCCTCATTTGCGATTCTTTTGAATTGAATGGGAATAGATTGTTTTGAATGGGAAATGGCACATTCAAGATGGGATTTTTTATTGATCTAACTTAGAAATTTATGTTAAAAATATGATTGTGAAATTTTTAAAAAACTTTAAAAAAAATCAAACTTAAAAAGAATCAAAAAAGAACTTACTTTAAGCAGTTAAGTGCCTTGCTGGTCGAATAGGTAAGGCGCTTGGCTCAAATTTGGGATGGTAACTCGAAGATCGTCGGTTCGAATCCAGCCGTTTCCAAATTGGTTCTTTTTCGGAAGTTTAGATACTTCGACTGCTTAATGTACGAGATCAAGCCATAATTGGGCATTTGGGCAACGTTGGATTAAGGAACGGGTCAGGAACCTGAAGTGTAGTGGGAGAAATAGGAACGAGAGCTACAAGATTACCTTATAATGGAATATTGTCAGAGCGGACCTGAAATGTATCACGTCACGCCCACAAAAGATTGAAACGAGAGCCTTAGTTTATTTGAAACCTAGATTTGAAGATTAGAAGTTTGATCCTACATAATATTAATTCATAAGTATACAAATAAAAAAGTGTAAAATGTGAATTATTACCGGACAGTATGTCGTCAATAAATGCAATAAAGTGCAATTAAAATGAAAAAAAAAAAACTGAAGAAGTTAAAAAATTCAAATTTTGTCACTTTAAAAATTAATACCTTAAAAAACTCAAAAACTCAGGAAAGACAAAATTTTTAAAAATTTTAAAATAATCTCAAAATTCAAAACTTAATTACAAAAATATTTAAACTTCACCTGCATAAACCATTCCAAAAAAAACCTCAACTGTTTAACTTTCATCACATTCAACCGCAACTGTCTCATAATGTCATTCATGAAGCTTAAAAAAATATCAAATGTTAAAAATCTTGATCGATTAGAATGCATGCAGCGAAAACATACGAAGTGATACATGTATCAATATAAATTAACATTACATATACTTACAATATGTAACAGGAAAAGAAATTGTTTTCATTTATTTTCTTATTTTGATGTCAATTAAGAAAAATGTTAATGTCAATTTAATTGGAAATTGTATGTACGGGATACGAATGAGATAGAAATGTTTGAGACAATTTCAATTGTAATTAAAAAATCAGTAGAAATGAGATTTTGAAATTGATAAGTTTATTGATGAATTAATAATTGTGAAATATAGCTGGTATAAATAACAAATAAGTGACGTTTGAAAGCTGCTATTTGATTTTTTGGATAAGACGTTGTGTTGTGAGTGGTATCAATGTCAACAGATTTCAATTGCAATTTTGGATAAAGTTGTCAATAATTTTTATTAGCTTGGTAGGTGTCAATGCATAAATATCGACTCGTTTTATTAAGTTTGCTTACTTTAAATAAATGTGGTGAAGCTGTTGAAAATGACGAAATCTTGAATGGGTTGTTTGTCAATTGGGGATCTAAATAGGCTGTCCAATTGCGCATTTGTAGCTGAACAGTTTTTCAGAACAAAATCCCGCATAAAATGTCCCTCTTTTTGAACCTACTTTTGCAGGCAAATGCTTGAAAATTTGATTGGTCACGATTTTTCATAAATGTAATCGGGACATTTCCTGCTTTGTGGCCAAAAATCGACAAAAAACCGATGGACAGCCTTTTAATAAATTACGCTTGGAGACCCACCCAATCCCCATTTTTGATGAAACCTAGCTCCACTTCAAGTAATTGTGGAAATGTCAATGGGAAAATGAACATTGGGAAAATATCAATGAGCAATCTAACCAAACCCTTAAAAAATTAAGTTCCAGAATTCAATTCTTCAATAAACATCATAATCAAGTGACCCCCCAACATCTCACGTTTGACAAAAATTTATTTCATTTCCGCAAACTCTAAAAAGCTAGCAATTTTTTTCCTCACTATTTACCTTAAATATTTGCTAATTCTTTACAGCTCACATGACAGATGTTTCGCTAATTATAACTTAATAATTTTAAAAATCAACAATTTTAATGGTAAATGTTAAATATAATGGATATTAATACTAGGAAATAGTAATGATGATGATGGATTCTCCGCTGGCGTTCTATTTTGAGGTTACTTGAGGATATTGTCTTGACTTTATGAACATATAAGATTTGAGATTTGTAATTTTGGAATTATTAAATCAGAGTTTTAAGATTTTTAAGTCATTAAGGAATGTTCTAGTGTTGCAATCTTGAAAATGGAACAGAGAATTTGACTTGAAATGGTCTAAAAGTAAAATACATAATTTTAGCGGGAACAAGCTTCAGAAAAAGCATAAAACTGTATTCAAATTTAAATCCTCTATTTCAGAAGTTCAGGACTAGAGCCAATAAAATCACAATTTCGGATCTAACTTATTAATTAATAATCAACCTCATCAAGCAGCTAATATCCATTAAAAAGTTTTCTAAAACCTTCACAATCACTTAATTCAAATATATATGAATAACAATTACCCATTTCTCCATATTCGCGACTTTCACGTCATTTCAAGTCAAAATCAATTTAGAAATTTGAAAATATTTATTTTCTTTCTTATTTTAAATAAAAAAAATCTCTTAATTACAGAACATTTTGATTATTTAATTGCAATAATTACGACACATTAGAAAGTCAAAAAACCTCAAATTAATATTATGCTTAATAAGTAGGCACGAAAAAGAAGAAGAGGAAAAATATTCGCAGCAAGTAGCTGTAAAATAATGATCTGAGTAATCAGAGAAAAACAAGAAATCAGTTGAATATCTCGAACAAAAACATAAAGACGTGTTTCATTGAAAAATCAAAAATAAAACATGGCGCAGTCGTATTTAAGTATTGAAAAGTTCAATTTTGAAGCTTCGACGTTAGAAATTGAATGGAAACGATTTTCAAAAGAATTCAACTCATATTTGGTAATCAACCAACTTGATGAGAAATCCGACAACATCAAACTCAATTTATTGGCACTATTGATGGGATATAAGTCAGTGGATATCATCAAGAATCTGCCGTTAACAGATCCAGAGAAGCAGAACTATGAAAAAGTGTTTGAGGCTCTCGAGAATCATTTTTCACCGTTATCAAATTTTTTAATTGAACGCATGAAATTACGAGGTCGAATTCAACAAGAAGGCGAATCTGTCGACAAGTTCATTAGTGACGTTCAAACCCAAGCCGATAGCTGTGCATTTAATGAGTTCAAAGAAGAAGCCATTCGTGATCAAATAATTTTCGGTCTGCATAGCAACAATTTGCGAGAAAAGCTCATTTTATCTGAAGAAAAGTCATTACGTACGTTGATTAGCAAAATCAAAATTTTCTACTACAATCAACAACAATTGAATCAACTAGCATCAGACAGTGTTAAAGCGAATCAAATAGCAGCAGTTGACCAACGTGTTCTTCACAAACCGACGTCATATAAACGTGAAAGTTCTCAAATTAAGAGCAAAAAATTTGAGAATTCAATAAGCAAAAAGAAGAAGGAGAAGGTCTGTGCAGATGATGAACGCAAAAGCAGTGAGTCTAATGTAGTAATCAATTGTGATGAACTAAAAGAACATGCAATAGGCAATGTTTGGAGTAAAAAATTACTCGTGCATGATAAAATGATCAATTTTAAGTTGGATACTGGATCGCAGGTTAATACTTTAAGCATAAATATGTTCAAAAGTTTAGGAAAGAAATTTAAGATTGAGAAAAGTAATTTAAAATTACAAGGATATTTTGGTGAAATCAATCACCCTTTAGGGAAGACGATTCTTCCAATTAATTTCAATAATAATGTTTACCTTGAAGAATTCATAATCATTGATAAACATACGATACCTTTATTAGGTTTAGAGACATGTGTAAATCTAAAACTTATATCTCGTATAGATTCCTTGCAATTGAATCAAATGTTGTGTTCAGAACAGCAAAAGAATAAGTTTGTAGATTTTTATAAAAAAGCTTTTACAGGTCTAGGCAAGTTTAATAGACCTCTTAAATTGAAATTAAACGATAATGCAATTCCGGTGGCAAATCAGAATCGTCGAATTCCATTCAAGTTGAAGAATAAGCTTCAGAATAAATTAAATGAAATGGAAAAGATAGGAATTATTTCACGTGTCAATGAACAACGTGAATGGATTAATAGTATAGTAATTGTTGAAAAAGGAGACAAAATTAGAATTTGTATTGATCCAAAACATTTGAATCAAGCATTAAATAAGTTTCATTTTCCGATTCCATCCCTTGATGAATTAAAGCAAGATTTGAAAGATTCTCAATACTTTACGGTTTTAGACCTCAAGGATGGTTTTTGGCACA